GTAATATTCAGTTTTATTGTTATCTAAATTAAAACAATGTATTCAACTTTAAAAGAAAAAAAAATTAAATTATAAAATAATGATAAATGTTTTCAAAATATTCATAATTAAACATTCAGATTTACGCTAAATTAAAAAAAAAAAACAGTAAAGCACAAAATTATAAAATGTTTAGTTGTTTTCTTAAATTAAATTAAAGTTCTTATAATATTTATTAAATACCTCTTTATAATGTTGTAATTGCTGGAAAATTATCTTTTTATCTTAGAATATTATAAGTTATTATGTATAAGGTAAAGCATAATGATTTTATATATTTGAATACATTTCAATGTAAATGTATTAAAACTTAATATGTTACAATAAACGCATCCTATATCTTGATTCTTGACGATTGATTATTAAGTTAAATATTATTATATATTGATATATTAAATATATTATGTAAATATTGCATTTATTTGTCAATAAATATTATTTATTTATATACCTGTACACAGTAATATTATGTATGTATTTTTACCTTAGTTTTAAATATATTTTTATTAATTTGACACACCAATGGTTATATATTTTGGTCTTCATTAAAAAATATTCCCATAATTGTGAGTTTTTTAACATTTTAGATTTAATGAACAATTTAAAAAACTGTTATTCACTCCGGCCGTCAAAGTTTGAATACGTATATATATGTGCCAGATATAATTATAACTTATTAACTATACATATATGATTAACACGTAGGATTAAGTTTAAAAATCATTTAAGATGAATATATTCAGTATTTAATTTTACTAAAAATTGAAATATTCGTAAGCTTTAAAAAAATATTTATCCATGTAAAAAGTAGCAAGTGTCTACTATAAAGATAAATTATAAATCCAATTGAAATTTGTATTTTGAAATTTTCAACATACAAATTACGAATATTTATAACATTGAAGGTATGCATAGGTATACAACGAAATAATTAAATAAATGGTATATTATGCTTTTAACAATAACTACCATGGATGAATAATATTTTATCAATCTTTACACGAAGACATTGTAAACGTAATTTGTAAAACTTTCCTGGTACTGGAATATTTTACACTAATTGAATACAATATGATATGTGTATAATTTAAAAATATCCAAAGCGTGTGTATTCTCGGCCGTATACATTTACGCGAGACTGAGATAAACTCACAGTGCATTCAATCTTTCAAATTGTCCAATTTACGGAAAACGAATTACGCATACGGCAGTACGCGAACAAAAAGTAGGCAAACACTGCGGCAATCGTCTTTATAAAGGATAACCACGTGTCCTTATTGAAACAACGCTATACACAGAAGCGAATCCCAAGAGGAGGAATAAAAAGTACGCATACACATCCAGCGGATAAGTCGTTATAAAGGAGGGAAAATAATGATATATATATATATATATATATATATATATATATATATAAAAGTGTGTACATATATAAACGCATGGTAGTTCGTATTAATAATTTAACAACACTTTGATCGTTGTTCAATACATACGAAGCGGTACGGGAAGGTTTTTTTATTTTTTCAATTTCGTTCCTTGAGTCTATTATCTTTGAAACAATTTTTTTGTCGCCTTAATAATTCAAAATATATTATGCTCAGCCCTTTCCCTCTGTAGGTACAGTACGCTGCAGTGTGCAAACATATTTTGTACTTGCAGCACAGGAATCGAAGGACTACACAGAGGCGATGTATACTGTGGGCACCATTCATCGCATAATAGCTAGGGCTCGATTAAAATTTCACTACGAACTAAATCGGTTTCTTGTTTACATTCCGTATCATACTCATATACTTACATACATCACACACACACACACACACACACATACACACACAATCGCACATGCACGCGCACGTATAGATATACATGTAATACACACACTTACACGTGCAATTTCTATATTGACCCTTATTAATGTTAGAGATTGCCAAACGTGTAGTATACATAGAGTTTAAAATAAATGAAAAATAAAATCCCTCCGATTTCTAAAAATGCCTAACTTACCAGTTAGTTACCACTACGCGTATTATGTTCTCACAGACCGTTTTGTGTAATGAGTCTATGAGACCACCGATGCTTTCTCGGTTATAGTTCTTAATTCGGGGTCGGTCATGTGTGTTTTTCGAGTACGTGACCGGAATTATTTCACCTGCTGATGCGGTCAAACTTCTATTTTTAATTTGTTTACCTACACCTACATGTAGCTACATAAGAATTATAACAACTTGTGTCATCCAGGGCAAGAACAATAACAACCATTTATTTGATCGTCACATGCGTTCGTCTGAAATTTCAGAAATTTTCAAATTAAATTAAATCAAGATTTTTGAAAATAAATTATATTTCAAAGAAATATTATGCATTTTGAGCACCAAGCATGATAAATTAATCATAAATGGTTTTTATTTCACTTTTACATTTCAGCAGCAGAATATCTCCTGTTTATACAATATTAACACCTCATGTTAAAAAGTTCGAATATACATGTACACGTAAATTTATATCGTCAGAAACCTCTAGTTTGTTTGACGAAGTCAAATATACAACGCATAGATGAATATTTTACTTACAGAATAACGTTACTCATTTGGGACCAACGTATACTTTTCGGAAAACTTTGGTAATAATATACCAAAATAATGTATTACAAACCCTTAAGTTACATACTTTAACTGTTAAATCTTAATTAAAATTAATGCGCAAACTAAAACATCAGATATTAGAATAAAATATTATGTTGGCGGGCGTACATATTTTCTACAGTTGGCAAAAAATGTTCATAAAAGTTATAAAAAAATTAATCATTTTCAAATCCACACATTTCAAGTTCTTTTTGTGAAAAATATTTATAAATAATAATCTTAAATCACATATGATTTCAAAAAAATAGTTTTGGATGCTAATGTATTATGTATATTAATGCAGAAAATGTTTTTTACATTTTTTATTGGTTTCTTCTGATTATTTAATTTATAACATCATTGGCAGATGCTATGATAATGCAACTTTCAGGCCTGAGAAGAAAGTATAGTATTTCCTGGAACTAGAACTCGAGAAAGTCGAATTCGTCAAATTAAAAAAAAATGTCATTTAATTCAATACATTTTCTCCTGCAAATATTAGAGATTCTGTTCGAGTATCTGTGCCTGAAGTTGATAGAAGCGAAGGAGAGTCAAGGAAAATTATTTTTATCATTATTAATATTGACAAAAATCAAAACTAGCTACGAATCAAAAATGATACACTAATCCAATTATACAAGAAAAATGAATTCAATGCTTCTTATCGTTATAGAAGATATTTCAAACAGTTCCAAATTTTAAAGAAAAATTGCTAACTTTCAATCATTATTAGGGGGTCAAGGTTTTCAAAAATGTTTTTGTAAAGATAACTGTATAAATAAAAATATAAATATAAAAGTTTATCTGTATTATATAATTCAAAATGCCATAACAGTTTAACGAGTAACAAATAAATAAAAACAATAATTAATGCACTCACATTTTTAAGTATCTATCTTTAAACTGAAATCTTTTATGGCTAATATCGTTAAATAATTTTTTGGATAATATTATTTATTCATTGAAAATGTGCTACTGGATAATGTTAATTTTTCGGTGGATAAGAGCCCAAATTTTGACATAAGCCAATGGCATTGACTAAACTTGTGATTAGCCTGCTAATCTTAAATTTAACCATTCTTCGGACACTAGCCATAATAAATATATATTATTATTAATAAACCGATATTTATCATATTTTTCTATAAAATCCAAGTTAATGCGGAGCAGGATAGAAATGTTTTTTCATTACTTTAAAAAATATTCAATATCCATATATTATTTATATTTATATATTTTCAAACATCAAATCAAGTATTATACATTTAAATAATTTTAAATTATCATCGATTTTTAAACATTTGTTTTTGAATGTTAGAAAATACTTATTACATGTTTCAGTTTCAACAAATTTGAAAAATCAAATAAGTATTCAATGAGGCATAAAGTTGTTCAATTTTTATAACTGACAAATACTATGTAGGTACGTTTTCAACGTGAATTTTGAACGAACCAAAATAATTCCAAATGAAATAAGTATTGGCATATTGATTAAATAAATATTCGTTAAACATATGAAAGCAATCGAAAAATGACTCACCTGATTAACTCGATTAAAACATACGAGCTGGTTGAAAAACTATATTTATAATCGAAATCATGTATAATAACTATCAAATTTATATAGGTAAAGACTGTAATACAGACACCAATTTTCTAGTAATATTGCATTAAGTAACATTTCTAATATACGCAAATTAATTTTTTTTCTTCATCTACCAAAAGTTTCGAACACGCTTCTTGATACGATTATAACTACCTAAACGGATCGACTGAATACGCAGAAAGCCGTCCACCATTTTACAGGTGTAATAAAAAATTAAAAATTTATCGATTCGATAAAATAAACTCGAAATAAGTGGAAAGTATTGTCTTGCCATCACTGTTATAAGTTTATGTTCGAATACCTAACATATTTTCATACGATAACATTCTGGCAATTAGAAAATTCTGATAGACAATGGTACACACTGGTAAAAAACTATCTGGACGCAGGCAATTCAAATGCGTATGTGAGCTTAGCGCAGGCTATGAAGTCCCGTAATGTGTTGATGAACGTTTTGGTTTCAAGAAATGCACAACTTCTCCCCCTGCCACCAGAATTTCCTCTATGTGACGGCCATCCCACTCTCCTGCACCATTGTAGACCGTTCATTAAATCGCCTTCAACGAAACGATTCCGTGAGGTTCGAACTAGTTACGTTCGTGCAACCCTTGGAAGAGGAACGTTTTGAAAACTCGCGCGCTTTTCGATATACATTTATGTTCACACCCAAGTGGCGACACTGTTCGCGCCCGCTTATCGTTCCAGCCGGACCGCGGCGCTCATGAGATAACCACTGTTAAATAATTAAAATTAAAAGATAAAACCGTATTTTTCCGTTTAGTTTTTTCAAACCGTGCAGTGTTCAAAGTAATTTTCGCCTCACCTCGATTATCCGCACTCGTATTAACGAATCCGAAATGCCTCCCATCATGGACATGTTGAATCTGAACCAACTGCACATGTTCCAAACGTTAAGAAAGATATTTGAGGATAACGGCGTCAATGTTGTACAAAATCTTCTTGCATACAAAGATCAAATGCTGTTCGTATGGAATCCAGATGAATGCTGTTTATACACGCTACTGCTGTCTACGTCTCACGAGGAACAACCATCGTATCAAGTAATTGACCGTTTTCACCATGAGCGCTTAACGCTTTTGTCAACAATTCTTACATTACCCTTCGCTTAACGTTATCTCTCACAAGTCTTATTACTTTTTTGATACTACTTGATTTACCTTTAAACATTATGTCTAATGCTCCTTCCAAAAGCGAGGTATTTCAATTAAAATTTTATTTTTTTTAATTTGATGTATGTGACAGTCTATGTAACCTGCAACCGGTCAGCACTAGAATGAGCGTATTCAGTTTTACTCAAGGTTATCAATTTTCATACTTAACTCTTTATACTAATTTATGTTAAAATAAATATGTACTGAAACAATCCATATTTTTTCAAAATTAATTTAAAGTTCACCAATTAGGTACATTTAAATAAAATAATATTAACATGTAAATGTATTATTGTATCACGAAAGTTAGTAAAATTAATAACATATAAAACATCTACTATTGTTTAATAACTATTTTAACAAAAGAAGTTAGGTGTTTGAATACATTATTAAAACTTGTGTATTTGTTACATTTTAGTAAGTTATTTTATTTTCATAACCGAAATGGAAATTTAATTAAGACGAATTTAAAAATCATGTAATTTATACTTGACATTTTATAAATAATATTAGATTTTTCTTTAATATAATTTTTTTGAAAATAATTTCCTAATTTAAGTAAGTGTACAGGTATGATTTGATGAATGTATAAAACCATAAATATATGACCATTTATCAATCAGAGATATAAAAAAAAAATGCAAATGTATATTGATGATAAGATATTTATATTTTATATATTACATAATTATGAGTATGTTTATGCACCATAAACAATTTCAAGTTAATTATATATATGCACACGATAAATTTCATAATAAATGATAAAAAATATCTTTTCAATGTAATATTGTTGCTTCCACCAATATTCAATATTTTATTATTATTCGTGAATTCGTTAAAAGTAATATTTACATTAGTGTAAAAAATTAGTTTTTATTTAAAAATTACATTTATATTGTTGGTAATCCTAATTATACATTCGTAACGGTTCTGTTTTATAAAATTGAATGGCATGATGTTGTTATTTTATGAACAAATAGATACCATATCTGCTATTATCATTATTTACACCTTTTCGTTAAGTCGGTATATATCTACTAAAACCTGAAACAAATCTCTAAATAACTTCAGCCGTGGTGTGTATGTGTGTTTAGTATAATAATAATAATATCCATTAATTTGCGAATTTACAGCGCCCTCCAGTTATTCCGCCTGCAATCCCACCACCGCGCATCGTAGGAGACGGCAGTAATAGTATATAGAGACGGCAGCGGTGGGAACGTTCTTCGCAAAAGTACCATTTGGCGTTGATTCCTCCGCCGTTTTTCCTCGGTTTCCGTTTAGCGGCCATAAATCGGTATGAAATATAAGTTCCTATTCGGAATCGCGCAATATAAACACGAGCCGTTAACACAAACGCGAGCACGGGAACGACTACGCGTCTTTCCCCGGTATGCGCCACCACTCCACAGGGCCAAGGGGTTTTACTTAACAATTATCATAAATATAAACAGGCCCGAACTTCCCTCAACGACGACAACTACTACCACTACTGGTATTCTCATTCTCCGACGACGGTGGTGGCCGAAGACGCGGTTTATCTTTTGAAGCCATTGTTGAGTGTATGTATGCGTGTGTATGTGTGTTTGAGTGGAGCGTAGGAAAAATGGAATAATAAATTGCCATTATCGCTCTCGATTGTTCCTTATATTATATTATGTGTAATTATGTATATAAGTCCGCGACCGCGGGTGTCTCTTCTTCGCGTCTCTCATCCTTTTCCTTTTCCTGTCGGCTACCGCCGCCGCCACCATCGCCGTCATTGTCGTCGTGTGGTTTGGGTAAACCGCTAGCGGTAGTGTCGCAGGGAAACGTCTTCGTCCGGCTGTTGAATTATCGCTTATTACAATCCTCTTCTTATTATTCAGTGGCGGCAGCTCTCCCTCTCCTACATTGTCGTCGTCTCGACCAATGCAGAGGCTCTCACGCACGCAAAACGGCTCTATTAATGCTAATATACCCCGTGTTGGTGAAGGGGTAGGTGGGTTCGCACAATAGATTTTACGAAAATGTCGCTGCCTGTCCAACAACAATTGTTTCTTTAGATCCTCTTCACTTCTTCTCTACTATACCGATTTTGTACTTCTGACTCGAGTATTAATATCGTTTATGTTATAACAACCACCAAACACGAGCCATTTTTAGTTTTGTACAGTAATACACTATTTTAATACTTCTGAAAACAAATTTATCTCTCCGCAATAATTTAATAAGAATTTTAAAATATATTTTACCATTTTGAGTATTATTTTTGGTATTATGTAGTATTACTTTTCACAAGGATACTGATTATTAATTTGTAATCTTTGAGTGGTTTTCATTAAATATAAAATATTTTTTAGCTGTGTATTTTATGGACAAAACTTAAAAGCAATATTATATTTGCCTTATTATAAGACAATATATTGACGTTTTGTTTTTTAATTTTAAAATTAAAGATATAGTTATTATAGACACAACTATAGGGAGAGTTTACAGGGACTTATTCTTCTAAATATTTTCATAGCCCTTCCAGATTAAAAATAATTAATCTCGGAATTTTACTTTTGAGATTGAGATAAAATCTAATCATCTTTGTCTAAATCTCAATACACGAAATAATAATTAACTTTGATCATTCTTGTTATTCAATAAATTATGGCTTTCACTTTACTTAGGACTATAAAAAATCAAAATATGATTCGAAAAATCGTACTTTTTCATATTTTTGCTAAAATTTGACTAAACCTATAGTAGTGAGTAGTGACAAATTTGGTCTGTATGTAAATTAGTGGGAGCATAGCCCCCGCAGGTCTATTTTATTTCGGTACTTTAACCCTCCTCCATAATGTAAATTCTAGTTGTGCCTATGATAGTTATCCTTAAATTATCATTAAATTTTTTTTTTTTATGTAGTCCTATGTGTATTTAAATTGAAAGGTTAATTCTGATCTATATATTCTTATTAATTTTGTTTCAAATATATTTTTAATGTTTATCATTGAAAATATATTCCTTCTCCCTCGCCTTTCTCCCAACTATTTGGGGTCGGCCACCTTTGTCCTAAACCTCCACTCGTCTTGATTTTCTACATCCCATACGCATACATCAACAGCTCTCATATCATTCTTAATCATATCCAACCATCTCTTTTTTAGTTTTCCTCTTTCTCTTTTCCCTTCAACGTTCATTTTCATAACCACTTTTACTGCTTTTGTTTCCTCTCGCCTCATCACATGCCCAAACCATCTCAGTCTATTTTCTCTTATCTTGTTCACTATCAATACTACACCAATACTACCTCTCACATATTCGTGCCTTATTCTATCTTCTCTTGTCACTCTACTTATCCATTCTATAATTCTATAACATAGCATTCTATAAGCACTTTATATCGTTGCAAATAAATATAAATTTAAAAATAAAAGAGATGTAGAGTTTTATTTAATTTTTATCATAAATAAATACAATTTATTTTCAATTAATTTTAAATGTAATAATAATAATTTTAGATGTAAAACATACATGTTTTATATCTTTTAAGTGAAACAAGAAACGTATTAGTTTTATTCAATGATAATTTTTATTTTCCAGTGATAAATCTTATGCTCCAAATTTTTCGAACAAAAATTGAACTTCATGATTCTTGAATTTATTTGTCAGTTAAACCGTTATTATTTAATTTTAGTAGCATTGTAATATTGTAATTAACTGTATTGAGTTTTAAGTGTACAATCCAAGTCTTAATCATTTATGTTTATTATTTCTTTATATCTTATTAAATTAATTCACTGGTTTCAATTAATAATAAAAAATATCTCAAAACAACATTACTAAATTTTAAATATTATTATACGGAAAATCTATTTTTTGTGCATTCACGGATCATCATAGCATAGTTTTCGATCCATTTGGTCTACCGTGATAAAAACCAAAGTCTTTAAATTTACACGCTACATTAGTGTTTCGTATCCACTTTCTCCCTTCCTCTATACTTCTTTTTATTGTTATTTTAATCCTGAGTGCTATTTCGAAGACTGATGTTTATTATGCATATTTTTTGAATGTTGTGCTGTCGAACCCCGGAGTCTGTTTAATGAACGTTGAATTTTGAAGGAAAAAAACTGAAAAGTGATGGTTGGGGATTAAATCGACTGCGAGTATTGAACATTTTTAAATAAAAATAAAAAGGGCGTGTCTGGGATATTACGTTACAATTTCATATCAGAAAGTAATCGTATTAGCTTAATTAAAAAATAAATAACAAAAAAATAACATACGCCCGTCATTCTATATGATCGGTAATTATCGTTATTACTTAACGTAGGTACTGTATTTATAAAAATGAATATCGTTTTGAAAAAAAAAAAAAAAAAAAAAAAGTTGAAACCATAGAACCACACCCTATGGGTCATTAGAATATTAGGCAATGTGTCATATGATGTTTATGTATAAAATAACAGTGATAAATAAAATATTAATGACATGACTGACAGAAAAAGTGAAATGAATCTGCAATTGGCTGTAATAGTAATCGACTGTGATCACGCTGACTGTTGTCAAAGAATTGATTACTGTCCGATGGATTATGTTAATATAAGGATTTTATATTTTACTCCTAAATATTTTTCATCCTAAAAAATATTTAAATTCAATCCAAAATAATATACAACATAAATTAGTCAATTTTTTTTTTTTTTTTGCAAACGGATATTTAAGGGATACACTTGAATGATCTTTTGAATTCACTAATTTTTAACAATATATGATTAAAAAATTAATTGATAAATAATAGCTAAAGGAATAAATGCTTATAAAATCTCTGACAACATTCATATAATAGCACAAAATTTAAAATTAATTTCAAGATTGGTGGAATTTACTATATTCTCTATTAATAATATTGC